CACACACACACACACACACACACACACACACACACACACACACACACACACTGATCTGATTTGTATTTTTTATCTGTTGTTATGGATGATCGCAGTCTGCAGGGGGCGCCACAGATGCTTCATGTTTGAAGGAGTTTTCTGTTTCAGGTCACCTGGACGGTCTCACCTCCACAGAAGGAGGAATCTTCGGGCTCACCTGGTGAAGGCGGGGCGGAGCTTAGCAGCGTTTCTTTTTGGACTCCTGTTGGCATCTCTTTACGGAGCCATGGCTCTGTTCCTGCAGAACCAGCCCCTGTGGTTCTGCGTGTACACCACGGTGACAGTGGGCGGCCTGGCAGCGTTCGCTATGGGACTGTCGCCAGGTGTTCGGGCCGACGTCATGGTGATGCTGCCCACCATGTGCTCAGGTGAGGCTGTGGTGTTTCAGTTTAATGATGGTTCAGGTGTATGTAGCATGATAAACACACAACGTTAAAGCAAACAATCAACAGAGTCAGATAACGAAGGGGAGGAGCTCCCTCTAATAACCAGCCAATCACAGCCCACCTCCTCCTGCGTTCCAGCTCGTGGCAGGACCTTCATCCTCCTCCTGTTTGTGTCGACGCTGCTGTCCGGTCCAGTAAAGAACACGCTGGAAAACACGGAGCGAGCTGCCTCCAGCCTGCTGTGTGGAGCTGAGCTGGCAGCCAATCAGACGCAGGAACTGATGCAGCAAGCAGCCACGCCCCTCTACTGTAAGCCACGCCCACACCCAGCATAACAAACCTACAGATAACAGCCTCTGTCACTCACTGAAGATTAAATTAAGTTTAGAATTTATTACATTTTATAGAAAATAAAAGATTAGATTAGATTTTTTTAATGTAATTTCATGTAAAAACAAACGTTGTTGTTGTTGTTTTACAGCTGTGTTGGACAAAGTCAGAGAGATCAGCCGTAACGCTTACGCTGTCGCAGGAAGAGTCCAGAACTTCATCAACACCCTGACAGAGAGCGTCCGCCATGTTGGTTCGTCACGTCTCATCCAACCAAGCTGCTATTATCCAACTATTCATCCAACCATTCATCCGATTATTCATCCAAATATCCAACTATTCATCCAACAATCCAGCTATTCATCCAACCATCCATTTATTCATCCAACCATTCAGTTATTCATCCAACTATTCATCCAACCATTCAGTTATTCATCCAACTATTCATCCAACCATTCAGTTATTCATCCAACTATTCATCCAACC